TATCAAATGTAGGGGAAACCGAGACACACTGAATTTTCAACTGAACACAAAAGAAGATATTTTGAAGAATGTGTGTAACCAAACTGTTGCTGTTCGTGTTAATTTAGTTCTTCAAAAATTTTTATTTTTATATGTTTTACATGTTTTAAATGTTTTATTGTTATTTTAAGTTATGATTTTGCTCAGTTTTGAGTACTATTGCTGGCAGCTACTTTACAGGATTACATCACTGTCAGGTAATGTAATGTTTTAAGTTACAAAATATTATTTGAATTAATTATGTATGAATAAATTAAAAGCTTGACTCCTTAAAATGCATAGTGAACATTACTTTATTAAATTAAGACTTTGATTTATCAGCTGACGAGTGTATTTTAAAAACAAAAATACTTTAACACATTAAATCATTACAATATACGTCCCACACAGACATTAGTTACCAAATTAAATAAAGGTTTTCAATGCAGTTACTGGGATATTCTAACTTCATTTATTAAATTATGATTATAATGAAAAATAATTATATTAAATTCTTTGTCAATGTCAGTGTTTTTATAACAATTTTAAAATTGTAATGGTACAGTAGTAGTACAGTATATTTATTTGTTTTTTTCTGACTTTATAAATATCTGCTTCATGCTTCAGGCAAAATTACACAACTCCACTTTCATTCACATACTGTGGTCTAGTAGAGTGATATACAAACATTAAAGTCCCATTGCTGTATATTAGACTGTATATCAGCATTTTGGACCCCTAATCGGCCAATCACACCCAAGGACCGGAACTGAGTATTGTGCATTATGTGTTTATCAAATTAGAAGAGTGTTAACAGTGTTTCCTTGTAAACATTTGTTTATCCAGCACTTGTTTCCCCTCCAGCCAGCCACATGGGGTGTTGCTGAAGACATGGTTTGATGGGTTGAGATGCAGGTGAGGAAACGATTAACTGAAGGGAGATTTCCTTGACAAGGGGTCCTCAGGGTATGGTGCTCATCACACCGATCGAAACGAGCAATGCTGTTTAGAACAAGAGCAACCTGACACACACATGTACAACACTGGGGAATTCCTCACGACACCTTGAAGACGAGATAAGAGCTGGAAAAAGCCTCTTTCTCTCTCTCTCTCTCTCTCTCCTGTGTGTTACACTCGCCCCACCTTTCCCTCTCTTTAACGTCGACCCCTCCTTTCTACAGCTGACTTATTCTCATT